GCAGGGGCGTGGCAGGGCAGTCAGGTAGCGGCGGAGTCGGCGGCGCGGCGCGGTCTTCGTGCGGTCTTCGGGTGCGTGCGCGGCGCGGTCTTTGGGCGCGTGCGCGGCGCGGTCTTTGGGCGCGGTGCGGTTCTCGGGCGCGGGCGCGGTCTCCTGCCAGGTGTTGTTCCTCCCGCCGGCGCTCCCCCCCTGCGGCGCTTTATAGCCGCCGGCCACCCGACGCCCCACCCCGTCCGGGCACACCTGCCACGTGTGCAGGGGCGTGGCAGGGCAGTCAGGTAGCAGCGGAGCCGGCGGCGCGGCGCAGTCTTCACGCGGTCTTCGGGCGCGTGCGCGGCGCGGTCTTTGCCTTCCTTTGGCCTCTGCCTCCTCCATCTCAAGAGGGATCCCTCTCAAGTCACTCTTCTTCCTCCAAAGATCCCCTCTTACCAGCTGGCTTGGATCCCCAAAGCCAGGCAGAGACCAAGATAGTGGCTGGGCTGAAGCACACACTGAAGGTTTTGGTGAAGAAAGGAGCAGCAGTGAGGGATGTGGAAAACCTGCGGGAAAGAGTAGTGCTGCCATAGACAACTTCAAAGCACAGTGAAGATCATACCAGAGGAGGGCATTTTTGGGTAGACTTTAATTTCCACCAGCAGATGTTTCAACCAGGATGGACCTGTGAGATCAGGGCTCTAGTCCCTACTTGGCCATGATGGTTGGCTTTGGGCCCCCCACTGACTCTCAGTCTAGCCTACCTCAGGGTTCATAGAATCATAGAATAGTAGAATTGTAAGGGGCCATGAAAGCCATTGGGTCCAACCCTCTGCTGCTGCAAGGACACCACGTTGCACCATCCCACTCAGATGGCTGCCCAGTTTCTTTTTGAATGTCTCCAGTGCGGGAGAGCCCACCATCTCTCTAGGCAGCTGGTTCCACTGTCATATTGCTCTGATAGTCAGGAAGCTTTTTCTGATGTCCAGGGTTGTTGTTGTGAGGATAAAATTGATGTAAGCTGCCTCAGCTTCCTCACATGAGGAAGGAACGTGTGGTATAAATGCAATATAATCATCATCAACACCACCACCATCAGATCTGCTGTTGAAAAGCTTTGTGTGGTAAAGACAGAACAGTGTATACGATCACCTTGGACATGGAAGGGCTTCAAGGAATTACCCATCCCAGGTGTTTTTACAGGGCTACTCTTCATTGTATGTACCTTTATCTGTGTTTAAGTTTCCGTGATAAATATTTGAAATTTGTTAGATTGTTTGGCATTTTATTATATAGTTTTTATGAACTGTTGTAAACTGCCCAGAGAGCTCTAGCTATTGGATGGTACAGAAATGAAATCACCACCACCAGCACCACCAGTACGGGAACTTGTGAACATTTCTGACAAAAAATGCTGCTGATCATGTTCCAGGTTGTGAACGTGATGTGTTTGCATGATATGTAAGCAGAAGCAAATTTCTTGTGAGTCCCTTGCCCTCTCCAGCAATTTTATCACATCCTAGGCTGACATCTAGTGGCAAATTAAGGAACATTGCTGAAGTCAAGAGTGATGTGAGTATTCAAAATGGGACAAGACATGGTTCCAAACACAGGAACCCTTCTGCTGAAAGGAGCTATCACCTGCTATGAGTTTGGTTCCATATGGCCTGCTTGAGAACATAAATCCTGCATCCAAATAATGAACAGTAAAGGGCCACTTTCATCCATTCAGAAAGAGCAGTGAAGCAGCCTGATTGTTTCTGGGCTGTGCAAGTGGGCAACTATCCCTCCCAAGGTGAAATTATAACTGTGAAATTGATTTAATAACTTCCTGGACAAGTAACCACTTCCATCTTTCCATGTACGGCATTCTAAAATTTCTGGAAGTGCTCCAAATTATATGTTGTAGAGTAAATTAAGGTTGGAGGAGGAAGTATGGTTGGGATTCAGTTTTTCTCAACAGGTAACAGGGTGGTGGTCCAACAAAGCCACCATCCTCATCTTCACCTTTCCACATACAATATCAGCTTCTGTTTGCAATCATAATTCCTATTCCTTCAGAGTTACCACAATTCCCCACTTCTCCCTCTGTGCATTTCCAAAAGCAAACAGAGAGAATGGGAATAAAGGGAGCAATGGCATGTCTGTTGCAAGGCGACTAGGGACAGTAGAGACTGAAGGTTAGAAGTGGCCATTTCCACAGCCACCTTTGCCTGGGACTCCATGGTGTTTCCATACTAACAATGGCAAAATGGGGGTCCTGGGTCTGGAGGACTAGAGAAGCTGCGGTGAACATGAAAACCTTTGAACAGACTGTTGATTTTTTTCTGTGGTTCCAGAGAACGAATCCCCTCATGCAGGAACTCCAGAAGTGGATTTGGATGACACAACAGACCTAATTTGGTAAGAGTTCACCATGGCTTCTCATGTTGTTTGAACCTGCCCTGAGAAAGGCATTTGCAGAACTTCCAGCTTCTTCAGAAGTGGGACAACAAAAAAGCTAATTTACCCACATGCAAACTGAGGCAACAGGCATTTGGAGTCAAGACAGAGTTTGGGTAACTTAATCACACAGGTTTTTTTTTAAGCGTGGTATAGCAAGCATTAGATAGAAGGAATTTAGCCAGATATTTGTTTAGGTAGTTATTGTGTCTGCTAAGGCATTAATTTGCACCACCAAAAAGGTCTTTAAATTTTTTAAAACAGCATGTTCAGAACGTGACTGAGATTCGTATACAGGAAAACAAAATGGATTTCAAGCATGGTTCTTGATGAGATTAGTTAGTTAAAATAAATGGAGGCCAAAAGCAGGTGCAAATTTACAAACATTTCAACACCATCATATCTCTCTGGAACAATCACAGAAAAAGTAGCTTCTAGCAGAGTTCATTTCTCCAACATTAAAAGCAAAGTTAGAGGGAGAGAAGGAAACAAAAAGACATATAGTTTTCACACACATGCATGCCTACATTGGAATAAATTTCACAGAATTCAGTGGAATAAATTTCACAGAATTCAGTGAGAGTGAATTCTGATTAGACTTAACATAGGATTGCCCCAGAATGCCATCATTTAAGAACACATGGAATACTGTGCAAACACAAGGCCAGTGTGTATTCTAACACAATGACAAGTATCCTCTTAAGTTACTGTGGCACCAGGAATAGAAATGCATTTGTATTAAAGATAGCATCCACCCACATCAAGTGCACATGTGTGTGCACACACACACAGAGGGAGAGAGAGAGAGCAGCACAGATTTAAATACACTCAACTAAACCCCTTTTTCTTGGTTCACAACCTGTGGAAAGATTTGAAATACTCCAAGTGGAAGTGAATTGTTTTTCAAACAGACAAACAAACAGTGCACAGGAAAGCATTTCCAGTATTTCCCTTCACTGCTGCAGAATGATCCTAACCCACACAGAAATGACCAGAGGAGATAAGATACCAGAAGCAGCAAGAAAGACATGTATTTTAAAGAAAAAAACAATAAGATTGTGGATACTGCTGCTGACATTCTTGAAATGGACTGGACAGGTATGCTTGTCACATCAAGTGGTGGTTACCCAGGATTCCCGTTTTTTAGCATGATCTATCTGACAGACCATCACCCAACACCCTCTTCTCCACTCCATTCCCTACTACCAGGGAATGAAGGTTCTTCTGATTTCAGGTCTCACAAACTTTGATCAAGACCAGGGATGCTGTGATGTGCACATCACTCCTGCTCCACTGGGGACAGCTGCCTGGGTGAAAAAGTTTGTTGAATTGTGATGTCCATGTCTTCTGGTCCAAATTCCAGTTCTGAATGTTTTTCTCTGGGCAAAATAAGACCGCACTACTTCCTGACTACCACCCCCAACACCCCTCAGTGTCCTCCTCTGGTCCTCTGATAGCACACTTCCTGGCCATATCCTTCCAGATCACTGCAGGGGAAAGGGTAAGAAGTACTGGTAACACTGGAGAAATATGTCATGGGGCAGCTACTGCCTGAGTTAGTGTGGGACACTTACCAGGGACCAAAACAAGGGTTGGAAGGGGGATCATTGTTCCTGATGTCCTGAAATGCAATGCATCTGTGGGAACATCTGGTGGTCTAGAGATGCTAGCTATGATCGTCCCCCTGGGATATGATGTTAGCCTGTCAAGGAGCTGGGAATGGGGCATGATGACTCTCTAATAGAAGAATGGGAACCCTTCATTGGACAAAAGTAAACTCCCTGTTAAGCCATCCCTTGATCATTACTTCTTTCCCACTGGGGTCCTTGCTGTATATTACCTTGTTCCACTGATAATTAAGAGTGGTCTTGGATATGGGGGTGTAACCTAAATGTCACCAAGGACAGGAAAGGTCACTCAGCTCTCTGTTGGCTCCATCTGTACATATTCCTCAGAATTTGCTGAAGTTAATCATTGCTCGGAAAGCCCACATTGCACCATCTCGCAGCACCAAGATCCCAAGGACAACGTGCTCAGCCGTGCACCAGGCTTCCAGGGTAGGACAGAGCAGGAAGAAACAAAAAGAGGCTGACTAGCCAACCAATTTGCATGTCAAGTTGCGATTTGCATACATTGTGTGTGAGGAGAGGCTTTGTTCTGCTCACCAGGACAAATTTAATAGTAGGATGTTCACCTTCTTTAAGTAGCTTTACGTTCCTGACATCACTCTGAGCCTTTCTGGCAAAGTTTTTTATGGTTCAGTCAATTAAATCAACATGAAGGATTTACCTCCCACATATGCGACTTAAGTCCAATTCATATACCAGTTTCAGGTAAAAGATGTGTGTGCATGAACTTTGGGTCACCCTCCGAATTTTCAGTTTTTAGCAATTAAGGTTGATATATCCTGGTTTGTCTTTGGAGAGCATAAAGTAGAAGGAATAGAGTTCAGTTTTTTGTGGGCAGTGTCCCAGGAATTTATCCCAGGAAAGAGTTAAGCTGAGAGGGAAATTCAGGCTTTAAAAGCCCTACACCAATCAGGAGTAGGCAGGAGAGAATACACAAGGATATAAAAGGAAAATACCACTCAATCGTACTACAATTTGACTGCACACTTTATACTTGCAAGAACAGAGATTCAAGAGTTCAAGATGATGGTTGGAAAGCTCCAGTCTTGTGGCTTCTTTTGGCCAGGTTTGATTTCCCTTTACTGAAAGTGGATTTCATTCTGTTCCTGTGGTGGTGAGATTGGAACTGGGGCAAATGTTCTCACAGTTTGAATGCTGAAGTAGAAAATAACATCTGGAGGGAACAGAATCAGTTTCTCCTAAGCAAGAACATCTTGGTGGTACCAGGAAAAATAAAATGGGTAGCCTGGGATATATTCATTCTGAGTGTGGGAAAAGAACCATTTCTCATAAACAGTGCCATCTAAAACAGATTTCTTCCTAATTATATTGTATAGAATTTGATGGAGTTAGCTTTCAAGGGCTTGAGAATGCAGATGTATTCTAACTTATTATCCAGGTATACTTTTTAGTATATGGAATTGTAATCAAAACAATTGCTTCAGGTTGTCTTGCCTAGATCCATCAGCTGGTGACCATAGTGCCAGTGATGAAGGGAATGGGGTATAATAGGTACAACACCAGCACCATGAAAACCTCTATTTTGTTTCACACCAGAGCACACAAAAGGTTTCCCAGATGCATCAGCTCACAAGTTCAGCTGCCCATAACTGAGGTATTAAAAAGTGACTTTTAATCATTATAAAGAGAGCTAAACTGCTGTATTTCTTTTTCTGCAGCTCTTTGGATCATGGCCCTCTCTTTATCTGGAACAGCTGGGGACAGTGAGGCATATGGACTCCCTGGGCCCCCTGGGCCCCCTGGACCACCTGGTCCACCTGGACTGCCTGGCCTCCCTGGCCCCGCTGGCCCCCCTGGCCCCGCTGGCCCACCTGGCCCATCAGGTACTGCACTGCGACAAATCCACAGCAAATACTTGTCTCCCAATGTGTTCACCAGAGAAAGCATCCCTGCCATGGTCCGCTCCAGTGTTTCACCTGGTGGCCAGAGCTAGAATGACCATTGTAGTTTTTGCAGGATCAGTCACAGACCTTGTTGAAGCTCTCAGTCTCCTGATGAGTACCAGCTGGGGGCCCTGGTGAAAGAGCCATATAAGAGTAAGGTCTTCCCTCCAGAAGCTGCCTCAGCAATACAGGTCTTCTTGTTAGCTGTTGTTCAGTTTCAATGCTGTGCCGCGCCGCATTGCATCCTGCCCTGCCCTGCCCTGCCCTGCCGTCTCACCTCAGCAGCGCAGATACTTCTGCTAGCAGTAGCCCATTCCAGCTCCTGTACCTTGTCTGACCCTAGTTGGATCTGGTGGCTACCTTGCCTTGCTGTCTTGCTTTGCCTTGTTTCACTGTTATCTACCACTGAAGAGGACAATGATTTGCATAAGATCTCCATGTGCCAGTTGATTGTATAGATGCACATAGATGTAGAGTTATGACAATGACACATTTCTCACCATAATAGGAACCACTCATCTGGAATCCGTGTGTTTGCTTGCTCAGTATGCTGGTTAGGAGCTCACCATTGATGACCCCTTCAAGGGCCCTATCTTCCACGGCAGGTTGGCTGAGCCCTGGCTTTAAGATCATTCTTGAAAAATGGGCAGCAGGGTGCACTTCTCCCAGTGGTCCAAGGTCTCCTAGCTTATGGCAAAAGCCAATCTGAGATTCCCTTCTGCTCCCTAGTGCCAGGGGAAACCTCACTTTCTGTGAACAAACACGGATTCTATGAATAGATTCATTTCTCTTTCCTTGAAATTATTGGCTTGTCAGGAGATCAGGCAACCCCAGCTTAGCAGGTGCAAAGGAAAATGAAGCCTCAAACTACTGCTCTTTGCTGACATCCCTCTCCTTCCCTTGACTGCTTTTCAGGTTTTCCTGGTGTGGCAGGAGCCAGAGGAATCCCAGGACTCCCAGGTTCCCCTGGAGTACGTGCCCCCCAAAACACATCAGTGTTTGCTGCAGAACTGGGCAAAAATCATCCAGAACCCAACCAGCCCATCGTGTTCCACAAGATCCTGCACAATGATCAGCAACACTTTGACGAGGTTTCAGGAACCTTCACCTGCCAAATCCCAGGAGTCTATTACTTTTCCTACAACCTGC